ATAAAGTGATTAAAATTCTCTTGAACTCATCAAATGAGGTGATGACTCCGAGTGGAAAGTGGGAGAACCCCCTGAGAAGTGTTTCTTTGAAAATTATAAAGAACAACTTGCATTTCATTGCATCGTCAATGTCGAGCAATGAATAATATATTCAAAATAAAAGCATGATCCATAGGCTCTATTTTTCCCTTGTATGAATCGAAGTGGGGACTTTGAACTTCGTCGAGGGATTCACGTATGCTATCTTCTTAGAGAAAGTGTTGGTTAATAGTTGCTTTCTCTTCTTAGCTAGCCTTTCTTTCTTTATAATATGAGGAAGTTGCATCTTCATTGTTTGGGTGGTAGGTTTAATCACCGTTTGGAATTGAAGGTAACATTCTCACTCCAAATAGCTTCCTATCTCTTTTGACAGAGTAGAGGATCATATTGATAACTCAACGTGAGGAGTAGCCCTCCACATTTGCTCCAACGCACCTTGGATCTTTCGAGTCATCTTTTCTTCAACCTCTGCAAACTGCCTTATGATGACCAACTTTTGTTATTCTACATTTACAGATTATTTCTTGCCCGGATACTCCATGTAATGCTCATCTTCTGGTTTGTAGCTTCCTCAACACATTTTAGGATGTTAGATTCAAAATTGTATGCGCATCATACCCAAATTTTACTAAGAGCACTATATGAATAGAGTGAAGAAAGGGAGCGAGAGAATTCCAATTTCCAAGGAGTGAAGAAGCTTTGGTCTTCCTCAAATGGACTTGAATTTCAAAGATTGTGTAGCTTATGCTCCAACTCTGACCCCTAATTATAGGTTCGGACTAGGGCTTGGGACACTATAGGATTTGCTGCATATACAATTATTAAATAATAATAAGGCTTAGGAGCTGTGTAGCCCAACCACACACTCGTGTATGTTAGCTAATAACCTCATGACATCATATTTCTTAGCTGACTGATCTTCTTGAGGGAGTCTCCTGATTGAGCGAGTTCATTGGAGGTTTTGATGAGACTACCCTGAGCTGGATCAACTTCACATGACCAAGTTCAACATCAATTTTGATCGAATTTGCGGATGTTTTACTGTACAACATGTACAATTCTGTAGTATCAAATTAGTGAAATTTTCTGAAGTTCTTAATTGGCGGCATAAAATTAGTTACTTATAAAAATATTTCAGTTCATGACCTTAGATAGATAATGCCAATTAGATCTGGTTAAAAAAGTTTATACACAAATAAACAGAAATCAATTACATAATGCACATCCGCAGGAGTGAAATATTTATCTCAATAACATGAATGCACATAAAAATGAGGAGGTCGACATCCTTAGACAGTTACTGAATGTTGATCACATGACTTTCTTGTCGCCATAAACTTGAGAGCCTCCTGAGACGGTTTCTTCAGACCTTCACCTGTGGTTTCCATTAATGATCACCACTGCTAGCCCCTTATCGAGGACCATCAGTCACCATCCTCTGCAGCTTCTCTGCTAGATAGGTTAAAACCATTGCCCACAGGAGTCTCCTCACCTATCTTTCAACCTAACGATTATCAATTGCTTGCTAAAGTCGAACACATTGATTGCAAGCCTCTGAATGCAAAGATCCACCGTTGGCAACCTTGAATATAACTCCTCTTCTGCTAGTTCATGTCACCGGTTATCAAACAGTCACTTGTCCACCGGGAACCACCAGAAGTTTGCCTGCCAAGATTTATCCACAAAACCTAGTATTTACTTTTTTTTTGTTGCTGACTCTTAAGCCTTTATTAGCCTCCTAGCTTTCAACCGAGAGTGATCATTTGGCGGTGGAATAATTTAGTTTGAAGAGGAAGTAATTGATATAATTGCTAGATGCTTGGGGCTTAAGTTTAGAAACACAATATGATACCAAATCTGGCCAAAATGTATTCAAGGATTTGAGGGATAATTTTAGGTATTTGATCATGAGTAATTTGAGGAAATTAAGCTTCATATCTTAACAATTCATAATGTATAATGTAATATATGGACATGCAATGAATGCGTTGAATGGGCTTAAATGTGTTTATTGTTTTGGCATGTGTGTCAACCATGGTTTAAAATTGCGCAATATGAGGCTCGCCTTTGCGCAATTCTAGTAAAAAACACCTCGATGCTTAAGCCTCGAGTTTTTCTTATGAGGCTTGCACCTCAACTTGGTTGAGGCCCGCCTCGCCTCATTGGTATGAGGCTTACGCCTCACGCTATATATATTAAAACTTACATTAATCTTGAAGTAAATGCCCGACATTGGACTCTATAGAAGAGGAGGAAGGGGAGAGAGCAGTTCACTATAATGATAATTCAAATAAAGAACCCCTTAGTGATGACAGTGCTGATGACTTATGAGTTCTTATGTGATATGTCATTGCTATTTATTTTTGGAAATTGAAATTATATGTTAATGAAAAGAATACAGGGATTTAGGAAAGATATAATTTTGAGATGAACTATATTTCATATTGTCTTATTGTTTTGGGATTTGAGAAAGATAGAATTTTGAGTTGAACTATATTTCATATTGTCTTATTGTTGAGATATTTTGATTTCACTTCATATCTTATGCTTTTTATGTTTTATATTATTCACTCATTAGTATATAAAAAATGTATCATTTTATGTTTACGCAATCTTTTGATTTTGAGGTTTACGCCTCAAAATGTCTTGAGGCTTACGGCTCGCCTCACGAATGAAAAACGCCTCAATACCCGAATACACAATTTTAAACATTGGTGTCAACAATACATTGCATTATGAACATTGATAGGCCATCTTAGATCTAGTGAAGTAGAACTCTTAAACTTCAAAGTGCTAATAGCATAATATCTTGAGTTTTATGATGAATTCTAAAATTAAGTGTATTCATATTGCAACAATTCTTAGCATTAACTTCCTTTGAGTGCTGCGCTATGAGTGGAAAATTGTTAGGGTTGTGATTTCTAAATTGTTGAATTTAAATATGTCTTTGGTAATTCTACAACATTACAAACAAGAATGTACAACTAAAGAAGAGAAAAAATAAGAGAAAGAAAATATAGAGTCAGAATATTTGAGATTTTACTAAACTAAGAGAGAAATCAAATAAAACAAATAACAATAAGATATGATTTATTGCCTTAGGCTCACCCTTTAGCCCCTATTACTAAGCTTGGAACGAGATAAAGAGCTAAAGAAAAGTTTGCATTTAAATTATTGGAAATAATAAATGCATAGCAAGGTTGAATACACCTCTCGCTATGAAAATACCTTAACTGTATAATTGAAAATACAATATCACATGTTGATTATGCTAGAGAAGTTGCTTCCTAACTATTAGGGTTGCAAGTAAACCGAGTGATTGAAAAGTTATTTGTGGTTCAATTCATGATTATTTAATTAAGTAATCAAATAATTTTGAATATTTTTTTAAAATATTTGATAGTTAAATAAACAAATTTGAACAACCATGTGTTCGACTTGTTTATGTTCATAAATAACATCCTTCATGAACAAATTTGATATGAAACTCGCTAAGAAGCTCGAGTAATGTTTGATATGGGGTCGATTGTTTTGTTATGAAAATAATGAATAATCTAATATAAATATTTATATTTTTTATAATTTAATAATATAATAATCATTAAATAATATATTTTAACAGTAAAATATTATAGTATCTATTAATTAAAATAAATCTGAAATATTTATTTAATTAATATTATGTATAATTTAGCTACAAAATTTATGTTTTATAATATTAATTTTTTTTTTAGTTTTATTATAATAAATGATTCTTATTTTATAAAAAATTTACTTCATTTTTTATATTATGGTTGTTCATTAGAAGAAATATGCTCATGAACAAGATTTGTTCGTATTTGCTAGATTGTTTGTTTAAAGTGTTCATGTTCATGCCTATTTATAAAAAGGATTATTTTTTAGCTCATTTGTTCATAAACAAGCTCATTTGTTTAAATCTTGATAAACACGAAATGAATCAAACATGAATTGAACACAAGTTAAACATGAACATCTATCATTTTAAATGAATCAAGCTTAAACACAAATAAGAAAGCTCGAATTGAGCTCAAAGCCTCAAACACAAATAGAAAAGCTTGAATTGAGCTTGAAATGAGCTTTTCGAGCTTGAACGTGCTGATAATAAATGAACTCAAATATGAACAAGTACTTGCTCAGCTAGGCTCGACTCATTTTCTATCCTACTAACTATGTACTGTTATGACAAATACTAACGAGTTGTCTAAAAGCTTGGTTGATTAAGTTTTGAGCAATAGAAACCTTTGGTGACTAGTATTGAAGGATTGACCTTGGATAACTAGCCGCATGATAATAGTCTTGTACACTCTCAGGCGAGCGAATAGCTTTGGCGAGCATCCTTGAGCGAATTCGTCTAGTTATCTCCTTAAGCCGAATTGACAGTAATGTGGCAATTTGAAGGCGGACTGGACTAAACTCTTGCAATTTTAACAGATCAACTATTTTAAGTCGACTAGTGTTGAGATTGATATGTTGAGTTGGGCCAACTTTCTCTAAATGACTTGCATTGAAGTAATTGAACCCAACATAAGAATATTTGAGCCTATAAAATTTCCATGGACGAGTGTCTGACGATGACAACTTCTATAATAAACCTCTTTCACAATTATCCTGATGGATAACAAGCTTTAAGACAATCGATGTGATCACATACATATTCTTAACAACTTTCCTTCATGGGGGGGTTAAATATTTTAAAGAATATACCAAATGCATGAGAATCTATATAATGATTAAACAGATCATAAAAGCAACTCTTTAAAACTTGAACCACAAGAAAAACTGGCATAAGCAATTACATAATTTATATTCAATGTTATGAGTGTGGTTTTATCAAATGATTAATAGAATGTGTTAGCATCTGAAGTTTGCTGGATTTAGGAATTTATTATTTTCATCTGATTTCATCTCTAAATAATCTAATTGTTTCCTCCTGTGGCTAGATTTTATGCAGCAGAAGTGCTATTAGCTCTTGAATATCTCCACATGCTTGGAGTGGTTTACCGAGATTTAAAGCCTGAAAATGTTCTTGTTCGTGATGATGGCCACATAATGTTATCAGACTTTGATCTATCCTTAAGATGTGTTGTCTCACCAACACTGGTAAAGACCACATCATTTGACTTTGATCCTTCAAAGCGCGGGGGAGGCGCGTTCTGCGTTCAACCGTCCTGCATGGAGCCATCAGCTGTGTGCATCCAACCTGCTTGCTTCATGCCCCGGCTCTTTCTTCAAAAGAACAAGAAGACAACCAGGAAAACAAGGGCTGAGCCTGGAGCACCAGTTGCCAGATCCAACACCCTTCCCGAGCTCGTTGCAGAGCCGACTTCGGCCCGCTCCATGTCCTTTGTAGGAACCCATGAGTACCTTGCCCCTGAGATCATTAAGGGTGAGGGACATGGCAGTGCTGTTGACTGGTGGACCTTTGGCATCTTCCTCCATGAGCTCCTCTACGGGAAGACCCCATTCAAAGGATCTGGAAACCGAGCAACTCTGTTCAATGTGGTTGGGCAGCAGCTTAGGTTCCCAGAATCACCATCGACGAGCTACGCAAGCCGAGATCTGATCAGGGGATTGCTCGTGAAGGAGCCGCAGCATCGGTTCGGGGTGAAGAGGGGCGCGACAGAGATCAAGCAGCATCCCTTCTTTGAGGGTGTCAATTGGGCATTGATAAGATGCAGCACTCCGCCGGAGGTGCCGAGACCTGTGGAGGCCGAGCTGCCAATGAAGTTTGGGACATCGGAGGCGATTGTGGGCAGTAACAACAAGAGGATGGTAGGGAATACTGATATGAAGTCTGGGGGTAAGTATCTGGACTTTGAGTTCTTCTGAAAGACTGCTCTGCTGCCTTCTCATCACTGTTATTAGATGTTGTATTGATTCCTTGATTGCAATGTTTCTACATAATGGTTTGTCAGTTTAGAAGAGGTCATTGCCTTGATGTGTTGAAATTCCCTGAAACTTCCTTAAGAGACAAGGATATAGGGATTTTTAGTGTGGTATTCTCTTAGATCCAGTTAGAATCAGTGCAAGGAACTTGGTCAATCTTGATTCTTAGTTATAGCAGGAGAAATTCATTTTAAACATCCCATATTCCTATTGAGTATGAGCTTTAACATTTCTAGAGATGTGTTTTTTGGCGTCAGAGTTGGATGCGGCTTTGTCATACTTTGTTCAATTCTAGATCACACAAAGAAGGTAATTCATCATCGTAGGTCACACAGTGGGTCAAATTTGTGTCCTCCTTTTTTTTGGGAAGTTAAATAAACTTAGAGAGAAAAAAATACAAGTTGAAGGCTCCAAAAACTATAGAAAACGGTTAAGAAAGACGGCTCGATTGCTCGAGTTCGTTTTTTTTTATTTTTAATATATAATTAATTTAGAAATATTAAATTATATTATATAATACTAATTTAATTATTTTTAAATGTATTTTAATTTAATTTAGCGGAGCATAAAATTTGATTAATCCATAAAATGCGTAGTCTTAAACGGAGCCTAAAATAAAATTTGATTAAATTTATTTAAGTAGAATTTAGTAAAACATGATGATGTAAAATTATGGAGCAATTCGGGCGCTCAACTCTTGAATTTTGTGAAGTTCTTGGACTGGTTGCAATATTAGCCAATATTATGCACAATGATTAACAAGACTAATTTGGAGTATAATTCAAGATATAGGTTTTATTTGGAATAATTTTTTTGCTGTTTTATAAAAATATTTTTCAGTTCAAAAATACAAATTAAAAAAAATTATTGAAAAATTACTTCATAAAATAATTAAAAAAAAAAACTATCTCAAACAAAGTCATAATAAGAACAATTAGCTAGTCAATGCACAACATCAGCATTAAGTTGAACAAATATAACATTATAACACATAGTAACTGCGCTATCAGCATAGTACAATTAAAGTAATGAATAATATTAATAAATGAAAAAAAAATCAAACCATATCATCAAATTATTATGTTAAATTTGTATTATCAAACCACTACAAAAATTAGCATCCCCGTAAAAGCCAAATAGTTACGAAGTGTTCGGATCACTTTTTTTTAAATTAAATTTTTTCATTTATTTATTAATATTTTTATTTAAATTTTAGATACAGACGTTAAAAAGCTGGAGAGCAGATGTATTATATTTGACCTGTAGCGATAAACATAAATATTTATTAGAAAATATTAAAAACAATATTTTATTAGAAGATTTAAATAAAAATTTGACCATGTAATTATTTATTTATTTATTTTTAAATATTTAAATTAATTAAAATAAATTCACACATATATCACATAAGATTTGACTAAAATGAACTGTTTAAGTTGGTTTATGTGAAATGGTAGTAAGATGGTTATGATGACCAAAGGCCATCTTGTCCTTTAAATTTTTTTTTTTTTGGAATAGGGTAGGCGCTATTCTAAAGGGAGCGGTTGGCTGCATGATTAATCCCTCAGCAAGGCTGCCGGCGTAATCTAGCAATGGCACACATCGGCATCGGACCCACACTTGTTTTACTCCACTGAAGAGGCGATGTCATAGTAGAGAGGATCTGAACCCGGAATAGGCGATTAACATTTCATGACTTTGCCTAACCAAGTTCTCTGCAGTTCCACAAACTTCGTACAAATCTAAAATATTTTCCAAGAGATGAAAGGCATTTATTCAAACATGCACGACATTAAAACAAACACTTGACAAAATACAAAACCAAACGTAGCTGCTAAAAGCACAAACGACGTACACGTACTCACTGCATCCTCATCAAACATCACTTCCACAAAGCCCCCTCGCCCACAATAGACGAAGAAACCCAACACATCAAAGCAACAAAACAAGCTAACAAAGACATGGAACGCCAAATCAAGAAGTAACATGCTCGACCTTCTGCTGCGCCGACTCCTTTATATCCCTCGCTTTGGCCGCAATCCTCGCACGCGCTTGGTCGATTTGATCCGCCCCCACGGGATGTTGACCTGCCAAATACCTATACATCCACGCCAGCACGGAGAGCGCCGCCACCCCGAACCCGCCGGAAGTCAAGAAGCCGCTTATGATCAGGGCGATGGCGATCGCCGCCGGGACGAGCACCGGGCTGAATATTACCAGCAGAGGCGTTGCGATTGCCAGGACGATTACTGTCCCCGCCATCGTCAGCCCGGAGATGGCTAGTAACGAGCCCCCTGTGGCAACCGCCGTCACGGCTTTCAGTAGTTGATGCGCGGTAGATTGTTGCTTTTGATGTTGCTGCTGTTGTTGGTATTGTCCGCGATCTCCTCCTCTGCCGTAATCTGCCATTGGAAGGGGTTTAGTTGGGGAATTTCGTCGAACGGGTTGGGGCGGGGTGGGACGAAAGGTGGAGGGAGGGGGTAAAAATAGGGAGGGCGCAGGGGAGGGAGGACACGTGGGGAGGCGCATGAAGGGGGGATGAGCGGTGGCTCTGCATGGGGAGGGCGGCGCGGTGACGCGTGACGGCGGTGGGGTTTGGGATAGTTTGGGGATGAGGGAAGAGTCGATACGAGCGAGGTTGGGGTGGGATCTGCTGTACTACCGTAAAGCAGAACAGGAGAGTGGGCCGACAAAAACCATCCATCATAATAGTTATTTAGGGTTTATGAAAAAAGCATTGTTTAGTAAATTAATATACAATTAATTACTGTTTTTTTTTTTTCATGTGATATAACTTGCTTCATTTCATTCACATAAAATTTAGGATCATTTTGAATGGCTAACCCGGCAGGTCGTACGGGTCCGGTCCGTGTTAGATTTTTTGACTTGTTTGCAAAAAATTGGTTCGGATTCGGGTTAGGTTAATTAGTGTCAGGTCAGTTCCGAGTTCGACTTGAATCGGACCCGTGATCCAAATTTAACAGCCATAATTGAAGTCACCTCTAGATCTAACAAGAGTAAAAAAAAACAATATTAATATTAAAGCTTGAATAATTTGGATCTCAAACTTGGGATCTTATGATTGGAGCCAAACAACCCAACTATTTGGTCAAAATGGGATGCATGTACTAATAATATATAATATTAAAGCTTCTTTTCAAACTCACAATATAAGTTGACCACTTGTATTATGGCAAAAGTTGCAACTTTAAGCATGTTGACTTTGACTTACGATGTGACAAAGTGATCATCTTCTTGATTCTAGAGGATTGCTAGAAAAAAGAAGAGGGTTGAGTTTGATCTAAAAGGTACTTATATTGTTAATTTTTTTGCAAGTGCAAGTGTTGTACGCCCAAATATGCTCGAGGCGCAACTTAATCAAATTTGCATTTTAGTCAATGTGCACTTGCCGTGGGTCATCTAGGACTCGCCCCAAATCGTGGAATCACTCAGCCTAAGGAGCTACTGGCACAATCAATAGAAGGGACTTGTCTATGCCTATCTCCAACTAGCGACTTCATCGACAAGTCAAAACTTCCTAATCTCTCATAGTGGGTTGTCCATATGTACTCATTGATGTTGTAATTGATATTTTCATGTGTTTTATAGAGCTTTGCTCCTCATATAACAAAAAGCTCCTTCTAACGCTTTTATTAGTCCTGTCTTTGTTCTATTGTCTCATGAGCTTGAGTTCTTAGGGTCCCACAAACATCTTAGTTTGGCAAGGTGCTTGAATGAGTTATATGAATTTTGGGCTCTACTGGCACATTAGTCTATTCACATTATATTTTTGTAGAGAAATATTATATCTTATACAAATATTACATAAAAATATTTATGATAAAATATCTAACTTTTAATTGAATAGATAAATAAAAATAATCTGAAATAAAAGTGGATGATACACTATTTGTTTTAATTAGATCACTAAAACAGGCCTCAAATTACAAATTTTAATGTTAATTTATTTGAGGTGTATAGTAATATCAATTTTAGTTTATAATTTTATTTGAAAATAGGCACAAACTTGCTTTTATGCTTTAAACCTCTATGAGAAATTTTGGATTTATTTGGGCGGCATCTGATTATTTGTACAAGTAATTATTAAATTTTTATAAAAGAGTTTTAAAATAGATTATATTTGTAATTTAATTTTTTTTAATAAAATTATCATACTCTAATAAATAAGATTATAAATAATAGCTTATCATTACAAAAAATTCTAAAACAATATAAAAAAAAGCGGTAAGAGCTTTTGCAAATTTCTGCATATTGTAGATATGAAAAGGCTTCCGCATGAATAAAACATTTTGCACTAAAAACAATTAAGCGTGATGTACCATAAAAAAATTATGTTTATCAAGCATGAATTTTGAGATAAATTTAAATTGAAAATTTTCAAAATTAAATCTGAAATCATATGAATTCTGATTTCAAAAAACTTATAGTCAAATTAAACGTCTCGAAAAGATAAACCAAACGACACCAAATTTAACTCAATTCGAGCTCAAATGGGTTTGAAATGCATTTGGAAGGTTCAAATCATAAATTGGGTGATCAAAAGATTTTTAAATGTTGCATGCTTATAGTCTAATCGAGCAGCTCGACGAGTCAAATCAAGCATGTCTAATCGAGCAGCTCGACGAGATGAAACCAACAAGTCTAGGATCCTCAAATTGTGATATCATTAAGGAACTCAAATACTCGATAAACTGTCAATGATCAAGGAGATTGATATCGGCCGTATATTTGAACTACTCCCAATGTGCCCTTAATCTTATGCATATTTACTAGTTATGTCACTCTTAAAAAATTATAAATAGACCCCTCATTCCTCACTAAAAGGAGGACCAAGCAAGAAAGGGAGGAAAAAAAGGAAAAAGGAAGAGAAACTTGAGATCTCTCTTGCCACCAAGCTATTCCTCAACCACTGCCAAGCTACCAATCGTCGCCGGACTTTTGCTGAACTTCAACCTAGACACCAAACGCCACCTGGCTTACGCCCGACCACTGATTGTCGTCGGACTTCCATCCAGCCACCAACTGACTTCCAACTCATGCCCGACCATTGACCATCACCATACAACAGCCTTTCTGACCTCTGTCGCCCACTTACTACGATCCTTCCGACCTTAGTAACTCGACTATGGTCATTTCGATATTCGTTGCTCGCCGGACTACTGTCTTTCTGACCACCATCATCAATTATGATTTTTTCAACCTCATTCACCTGCCGACTACGGTCCTCCCTATCACTGGCACACGACTACGATCTTTTCGACCTCCGTCTCCCACCAACTACTATCTCTTCAACCACCATCTCTAGACAATGGTCACCTCGACCACCGTTGCTTAACTACGATTCGTTCGACCACCGCTACTAGACAATGATCTTTCCGACCTCCATCCCCCGTTGGTTACGGTCCTTCAGACCACTATCTCCCGATTATGATCTTTTTGACCTCTATCGCCCGCCGACTACGGTTTCTCCGACCACCATCTCCTGACAACAGTTTTCCCAACTACCATCGTCCGACTATAATCCTTCCAACTGTCGTCGCCAGACTTCGGTCCTTTCGTCCTATGTCGCCCGCCAATTATTGTTACTCTGACCAATAGCATCCGTCGATTATGGTCCTGGCGATCAAATAAACATGTCAGCACTGATTCTTCCAACTCCCATCATGTAATGCACTCTATATAAATGTATATTTGCTTAATCAAGGCAAGACCTATCCCCAAGAAAGGACCTCATTTGTAATCGATTGTAACAATAGTGGATTCATTTAAACTGGGCAAAACCAGGAGATTTTTCCTCTTTCTAGGGGTTTTCATATAAAAATTATGGTCTCTTATGAATGTTACACCCCTACTCTTTATCTATTTGTGATAGATCTTCGTACAAAGCTAGGGCGTTAAACATTATATTTCTCTACCACCGTAAATATTTTAGAATGCAACAGAGCGACATGTGAAAGATAAATTATCATTTATTTAATTGTTGTAAATTTTGATAATTTGTTCATAAATAAATTAATTAATTAGTAAAGTGATAATTGATCATAAACTGCTATGTTTTATTTTTTTAGTAATAGGTTGCATTTTAAAATTTTGTTTGGGATGACTTTATTAATTGTTTCTGAAATTATTATATAGAAAATAACTTTTTAAAACCGTTGTATAAAACAAATTTTTTATATAAAATATTTTTAAAAATAATAAAAATAGATTAACCAGATTAAATTTATGATTATAATCTAAAAAATAAGATAGCAAGAAAATAATCCCTAATAAAATCCATGTTTTCAAACCCCAAAATATTTGTCTCCTCTCATATTTTAAAATTATATAAAAAAAAATTTTTGGATGGAAAAATTATATCAAATTTTCATTTGAATTAAACTTCCAAGACAACGGGTTTTAGACTCTTAGTGGATCAATCAGTTGTACGTGGAAAAAAAGTTGGCTTGGAAATTCTGCACCTCGTGCCTAATTAGCAGGAAATTTGGTACGTCATATTCGTTCTGCCTGAAAGCTGACTTGAAGCGTCAATACGAGTTTGAATGGAGAATACCGTTAGCATCCCGTCGATCATGATCCATCATACCAGCTGACCAATCTTCTACCTTATTCTTTGTTTAGGAAAAAAAAGATAAATTATTCTGTGCGGAATTGGGACAGAAAAAATCATTCAGCTTGTTATGTATTTATCGTGCATTTGTAAAAACGTAGAAGATACTCAGTAGACACAATGCAAATCAGCAAATACTAAGTAAATATTCAGTAAATATTTAACAAATACTTAATTGTGAGTAATTGTTTAATATTTACTGAGTATTGATAATAACACAGCAAATACGTAGTAAATCCGGACAGTTCTCCCCGTCCGAACTACGCACATAATAATTTCCCACACAAATAAGAGGTGCACACGTATAAACCGTTATGAAGTCCATCTAAGAAGTAATTAAATAAATTAATTATGTAAATGGCTTATATTAATAATGATTTAATTAATTAAATGTTTAAATTCTACCTGGACACCTACCACTGCTGGACTTCCACCTAGACACCGTCCGCCACCCATGGGCGGATCCACCATGGTCTTAGTCCGGACGGGGAATTTTTGGAATATTTATAGGGGATTTTTTGGAATATTTTAAGTATTTTGGGCATTTTGACCCCCCCCCCCCTTAAAAATATTATCAATCCTAGGCATCTTTGCTCATCCCCCTATAATTTTTGTATTGCTCACCCTGAAAAAAGAAGCTGGATCCGCCCCAGCCGACACCGGACTTCAACCCGACAATCGTCGGACCACCTCCCGACCGTCGAACCACCGCCCGGCCGCCGACTGTCGTCGGACATTAACCCGATAGTCGTCGAACCACTACCAGTCTACTGACCATCACCATACTTGCACCCGGCCGCCGACTGCCAGCAGACTTCAACCCGACTGTCGTTTGACCATCGCCACACTGCCTCCCGACTGTTGACCACCGCCAAACTTCAACCCAACCGTCATCGGGCAACCGCGTGGCCGCCAAACACCGCTGAGCTTCCACCCGACCGCCAACCACTGCCAGACTTCAACCCGACCATCGTCGAACCACCACTTAGTTGCGATTGCCGCCATACTTTAGCCCAAACATCGTCAGACCGCCACTCAATCACTGACTGTCGCCGGACTTCCACCCGGCCTTCGTTCGTCGTTAGATTTTTACCTGAAGCTAGACTTCTGCTCGTCACCAGACTTCCGCCAATCGTCGGACTTCCGATCATCGTCAGATTTTTTTCATACTTCTACCCGATGCCAAACATTCATCCATCACTTGACTTTCAACCTCTGTCGCCCGCTGACTATGGTCCTTCCGACCTCCGCTCGACTACGGTCCTTTCGACCTCATCGACTACGGTCCTTCCAAACTTTATCGCCTGCCGACTATGGTCCTTCCGACCTCCTCCATTGAGTTTAGTCCTTCCGACCTCCTCCGTCGACTATGGTCCTTCTAGCCTCCTCCGATTATGGTCCTTTCGACCTCCTGCACCAACTACGATCCTTTAGACCTCCTCAGTCGACTACGGTCCCTCTGCCCACCGTCACTAGACTACGGTTTCCAACCTTCATCGCCCGCTGATTATGGTCCTTCCGACCTCCTCAGCCGAGTGCAGTCCTTCTGCCCTCCTCCATCGACTACGATCCCTCTGACCACCATCACCATACTACAATTTTTTTTACCCCCATCATTAGACAACAGTCTTTTCGACCTCCGTCATCCGCCAACTACGATCTTTTCGACCTCCTTCATCTGCCAACTACGGTCCTTCCGACCTTCGTCGCCCACTAACTTTGGTCATTCCAACCCTCGTTGTCAGACAATGATCTTCCCGACCTCCGTCGACAACAGACTACGATCCTCCCAACCTTCATCGCCAACCAACTATGATCCCACCGACCAATCGAACAAATCAATGTTTGTTCTTCCAATTTCCATCGTGTAATGCACTCTATAAGATGTATATTTGCTACATCAAATCAAATCCTTCCCCCCAAGGAAGGGCCTAATTTGTAATTCATTGCAAACACTAGTAGATTCATTCATATTGGGCCAGGCCCTGTGGTTTTACCCCTTTTCAGGGGTTTCCATGTAAAAACTCTGATGTCTCTTATGAACGTTGCACCATCTTTTTCATCTACTTGTGTGCTAGATCTTCATACAATGCTAAGATGTTAAGCTATATATTTCTCTATAGCTGCGAATATTCCATGATGCAACACATATATATGATTAACATAAGAGAAAAGAAAGTTGGGTGAATTAAGAGAAATCGTAGTATCTCAAACTCAAAGAAACGCATGGGCAAATTTACGTCGAATCAAGATTTAACAAAGAGAGAAACCCTAGCTTCTCAAACTCAAAGAGATCCATGAATAACTCTGCGCCAAATCAAGATATGTTGTTATATTTTAATTACAAATTTGTGAAAATTATATTATTCAAGTTCTTACGATTAAGTGTTTATACAATTAAGTCAATTTTTATGAGAATGAAGACTTTTATCGGTGAATCCAAAGTTTTCTAACAGTACGTTCACAAAATACGATGACAAAGAGAGAGATGATATTTAATCAAGTAGTAATGAGATAGTCTCCAAATAATCAGTTAAGAAATTTGCATCATAGGAAATGCCAAAATTTTATAGCTCAGTTAAATCATATAATGATTGGGTATATTTCAGATAAATCATTCAAAACGAGCATAAAAAAAAAAGTATTCCAGTCAGTCAAAATCGAGCCACATAGAAACAGCAGCAGTTCTCAATAATATGAAAACTGGGCCATATTAAAAATATTGCCAAAGAAATTTATAAATCATGATGCAGAAGATAAAAACAACATGGCAACTCAATACGGAATTGATCACTTCCTTCACAATATATATATATATATATATATATATTATGACATTAATTAAAGTAATTAATAGAAATAAAAAGTGGAAAACCAAATCCGTCGTCACTTAAGAGAGAGATTATTATGTGCGGAGTTTGGATCGAAGTTGTGTCGGGTTTTTGTGTGTGTACAACAAAAGCGCACTAGTGAATAATAACTACACATTTCCTGTTTATACTCATAAAAATCGGATGGTTCTCCCGTCAAAACTTCGCACTAAATAATCTCTCCACTTGATAAGTAATATGCACGAAAAAATTGTGCATAAATAGAAATACATAAATTATTCTGTGCGGAGATCAGATGCAGAACGTCGTCCGAAAACCCACCAAAATGTACCACGTCAGCGGCACCGACCAGTAACGAGCTGCGGTACCAAACATAGAAAAGATATAAATAATAGAAAGGTAATTCAGCCTTTTTCTTTCGAAGACAAATGGCGATTAGGAATCGTTCGTATTTCTGTAGGCCCACCTCTGTCGGCCGAAAGCCTATATGCTTCCAATCCTTTGAAACGTGATGCATTTGGCTTCCTCTTTCCTAACACAAATAAATACAGATGGAGCTTCTATTTTAGAAATAGACATTGAACTTTATTAACGGTGGAAAACTCTGATGTAGGTTAGGTCACACTATTCTTTATGTTTCTACCAGCATTTGACTTCCTAGATTGTCAGACAATTAGCCTTAGAATTAGGAATATATATATATGCTTGTGACCTAAGCTACATAAAGAATAGTGTGACCTAAGTGGGTCGGGTCCGGGTCCGGGTCTGGGTCCGAAAAACCGACCCGTTTGCAAAAACGGGTCAGGTCAGTTTCGGGTTGGACCCAAATCCGACCTGTGACCCGATCCCAATTTTGACAGCCCTATTTATAATGTCGATATTCTCATCGAGGCTAGCAGTTGAATGCAGTTACGAAACTTGATGAACATTGAGGTGGGACGGGCAAGACGAAGAGAAGCGAGCAGATGGTTGTCTGACATGGTAGAAGAGATGGTTTAATGTGGAGGCATTGATTATGAAAATCAGTTTGTCTTGGCCTGTTGGTTGGGAGCTTTGACTACCAACAAAGAGGTCTTAGATTTGAGTCTTGCATGTGATGTTTATATGAGTTTATCTTAATTGGTCTAAATGTCTCCCCTCATACATAAAGAATCGGAGATTTAGCATTTTTATTTAAGCTTGAAAATTAAGAGGGGGAATACTTTGGGATGTCCCAATAGGAGGAAATTGCTGTCATTTGAAATCCGATGTTCTTTATATTTTGTTTTCTTGTTCAGAAGAAGTATAGAAGTTGGATTCGTTTGGCTAGCTAGGTCTCAATATCAGACTTTTGGGTAGAGTTAATGAGTTGTCATCATTTGTCAGAGTTGTTGAATTAGTTAATTATCCTATTGAAAAATTCTATTATGCTGTTGGCTTCTTCATTGCTGAATTTTTCTTTGAAATTTTATATTTTTCTTATGCTTTATTAGTTTTATTTGCTTTGAAGAAATTTAGAAATTCTGTAGTTAAACGCTATTGAAATAACTGTTTGGCGCTATTATTTTTTATGAATCTCTTTAACCGCCGATCTAATCTTACATTTGAAAACTTTCAGTGAACCTTCAAAATAGTCAAAAATCTCGCTTAATTAGGTTGATTTAGATTGATTATAAGGGCATCAGGTGCGCTTATATTTAAACTAATCATGATTAAAGGAGGATCATTATTATAACTGAATTCCTGCTGAACACATTTCTTCATAACAAGGTTTATTATGGAGGAACTACTGAACCTTACAACACTAAGAATGCTGAAACATCAATTGAAGAAACCATGGCGGTATTTCTTAGAGAAATTATTTTGTGCGGACGTCAAATGCAGCTCTACATTTGGAGACCAATCAGAATGAGCCACGTGAGCGGTACCGAGTGGTACTGAGCAGTAACGAGTCGCGGTACCGACGTGACTCATTCTGATTGATCTTCCAGGCGACGTTCGGCATCCGCACAGAATAATTTCTCCATTTCTTCGGGCAAAACTTATGCTATTTTTGTGCCAATTTCTTTTACAGAAAATCACTAACTACTCCATTTGATTTTGAGTCAATAACGGATCCATCATAAAAGATCTCATGGACTATGTAATCCATCTATTGTGTCGTACATAAAAATCCATTGATGAGTTGGATCCTTCATTAAAGAATAAAACAAAGATCTTCAAATGTCTGTATACAATGCCAAAGCCACACAAAACCCCAGTCTAGCAAGCTCCACATCAGCCAACCCCTCCAAATATCCCGAAAAGATTGAAAAAAGATTACTCCAATTCCTTTTTGTTTTTTTTTTCATAAAGACACCTCCTCCACTTCTGGATTAATTATTCTGTGCGGACACCGAATATCATTCGGAGATCAACCAGAATATGTCACGTCATCCCTTAGTTTGATATTGTAGCTTGGTACTGCTCTGTATCTCGACTACCATTGATGTGATACAATCTGATTGACCTTCGAACAAAATTCTACATAATAATTTCTCCCACTTCTGCAATTTGTTCATTTTATAGTTACAATTTGCCGCCTCCCCCTAATTTCCATTCTGTGCTACTTCCGCATTTTAAGTGGCACTTCAATCACCGGTTTAACTAACCAAAATACCCGACACGAGTCAGTTGAGCGACCATCAATCCCGGGAATCCCACGGGGCTGTCACCGGGCCAAAGCCTGAGCCGGCAACTGAAGCTGAACCAGAGCCGGAACCGTCGACGGAAAAGAAGAAAGCGCCGCCGGTAAACTCGGAGATCTGCCCTCCGACGCCTCAACTCTCTTCGTCCTCTTAGGCGACACTTTCGATTGCGAAATTGGAGTTGAAGACAAGGAAGCAGAGAGCTCCGGTGAGGCTCGTTTCGCCAGCGACGAGACCCCATCGGGGCAGATTCGAAGGGGGAAATTGAGGAGCGCGCGAGATCCGCGCATCCTATATGCGGCGCGATCGTATGCGACTGCAGCCTGCTCAGCCGTCTCGAAGGTCCCCAGCCAAACTCTAGCCCCATTCTTTGCCGGATCCCTAATCTCCGCAGCGAACTTTCCCCACGGCCGCTGCCTCACACCGCGGTAGTGCTTTCTTTTCGACGAAAAATTTGCTGGTGCTGGGGGCGGCGGTGACGGCGGATCTGGCTTGATGGAGGTGGTTTTGCAGCCGTCGGGAAGCCAGCCGTGGTTAAAAGCGTCGTGGAGAGTAAGATAGACGACCATGTCGTCGGAGTCGTCGACATGGAAGGGGAGGTCGCTCCAATGATCAGCAACTATACTTCCGAAGCTCAAGCTCCGGCGGTACATCGGCGGTGGCGGGGATATTGCCGCGGAGGATGGAAGCTCTTTTACATCGAGGAGGTGATGCCTGATGGGTTCAAGCTCAAGGCTGCCGAACATTTTCTCCAGGATTTTTATCTCTGGACCTAAGCATAGAATTCCGTTCGGCTCGCCGGAGTTTGATTGTGGAAGTAGATTGGTTTGCGGGAGGGATTTATAAAGGAGGATAAGGTCCAGTTTAAAAAGCTCCGGAGCTGGAAATCGTGATTGCCTCCGTGAAATTTCAATGGCGGAAACCACGTGTGTTATTATTATTTTTTTATGATTATAAATTTCAGAGGTGGGGCTGGGAGCTTCTTCTAGATTGACGTACTCGTGAGGTCGTCAGCACCAACCACTGCCATGTGGGGCATTTTTTTTTTTTTTTTTTAATCTTTTCGTGTCTGATATCTTCTAGCCAGGTTTACTATTTTAAAAATTTTTAACAAAAAAACTAAATATAAAAATTTTTTATATTAAAAAACTGATTTATAAAATAATTAAAAAAATTAAATAAAAAAATTTATTACATGCATATAGAACAACCATCAAAATTTTTGTCTCGTATTTAGTATACTTAATAAATCGGACGGTTGCCTTAATCAAAACACACGTAATAATTCCTCCAAATAAATTTAGTTTTCATTTGGAGCAATTTTTTCAGTGCTTTCTAAATCAGCTTTCTTGTACAATTTTATAAAAACAATATGAAAGTTGTCCCAAATAAAATATCTTAAGAAGTTTAGAAAGAAAATTGTTTTTAGGACTAATATTTTTTTCTATATGAATGAAATCATTAATAAGATTCATATAATCTCTTTTAAAGATTTATTCTAAAATTAAAATTACTTGGAGCCTACAACTGTCAATCCAATCTTTCAAGCTGGTGTAATAAAGTCCATGGCTCCATATGAGGAGAATTTATTATGTGCAGAATCCGAATGTATTCGGATTCCAATCACCATGAGCCACGTCACTACATGCAATGGGCCCCGGAGTGCATCTGATGACGTGGCATGTGGTGATTAATTAGAATCCGAATGCATTCGGATTCTGCATACAATCATTTCTCCCATATGAGAGGGCTATAGTTCTGATGACATTGTGCTGGAAAAAAAAAATTTTTTTTTCCTGGTCGGTCCAGTTTACTTCTCTATTGGCTGACGAGGTTTTTAATATTCTCCTTACTGTAATTGATTACTTTTGAAAAATATGGTCTCATTCTTTGGTATTGAAACATGAAGAAGTCTACAATTATTGGGCATAATTTTTAAACTATTCCATTATAATTAATATAAGGATATTTGGGCATAGTTTTTTTTTTCTTTCATAACTAAAATGAAATAAAAAGATTAAAATTTACCGATAAGAACAATATACAAGATAAAAATATATCTATAATTATTATAATTAGACACATTGAATTATATATTATAACACTCCAAGATCGATTTAAAGTGAATTTTTTTTCTTTTATCTTTATTATCTTTTTAATAACGAGAAATCTATTATTATTATGGAAATAAAAAAACAGACTCTTTAATACTCAAATACCTTTAATATATATTTAATAAATTGATGAATTAAACTATAAAAGTTTTATATAGGAATAGGCTATTTTGACATTTTGAGTTTATTAGGGTTATATACCACTAGCTCGTTGTATCTTTGACTACATTATACTCCTTTCCATATTTGATTTTTCCATACATTGATATTTTGAAAATAATATTTATTCATATCATAATTGATCTTCTAAAATACAATCATGATTATAATAAAAAAAAATTAGACTTAGATCTCTAAGATGTAATTAATCATAAGAGTTTGATTTTATATCATGCTTGAACTCATATAGATCCCAATCAAACTGATTTTTGATGACTTACTAAATTCTATTAGT